GGTAGACATCTGGAAGTTTCTTCTATTCAGCAGAGCCTTGAGTATTTCCAATATGGCCTCTCCATTTTATTTTGCCTTTTGTTCAAAATGCTGTGTCCATGCAAATGTGGGCCCATACTAATTTTTATAGCTGGTTCAATTTGTCAGAATATAATAAATTGCTCTTCAAACCCATGTTTTAAGAATTTCTGATAAATCACAAACTTACATCCTAGAAATTCTTCTTTTAATCACAAATGATAGGCACAAAAAGTGGCTTGCTATCTGTATACTTGCATGTTTATAATTCTTCTAAAATTAGCATTTTTTTCTGTTTTGGATAAACCCAATTTTGCCTGGCTGTATAACTGTTTTCTGGCCCCTATTGGCTGTGGTTTCAATGGAATATAAACCATAAGTTCTGAGTGGACTCAGTAAAAAACATTTGGTTCTGACTTTACTGGCAAGAAATTTAATCAATTGATAACTTGCCAGGAGATTGGGAAGAAAAAATTTTTTGAGCAACAGGAATAAAGTATCATAAAGTATTTGAAAATGTTGATAGAAGACATACTTAAAAAGCTACCAAGCATAGATGATTTAGTTCTTCTAAAATCTTTAGACTTCTTAAATGGAAATTCTCTCACTTATAAAAATATCTGGTTTCTTTTAAACTATATTCATAAAGTGACACGATTTAAAGCCTCTCTCATAAGGAAGTTCTTGCAGTGAGGATCACTATGCACAGTGGGTAAGAACCAAGTCTTTGGAGGTAGGCTGCCACAAGTTAAATCCTCTTGTGCCTGTATCACTTTAGGCAAGTTAACTTCTCTGAGTCTCATGTTTCTTCATTTGTAGAATGGGGTTGATAACGATACCACCTTTCCTGGAGAACCATGTTCTTGCAACATTTTGTCTCTCTGAGGATACTGAGGCTCAGGGACGTTAAGTGTCCTGCTCAATGACACATGGGAGGGAGGGGCAGAGTACAGCTGGGATTCACACCCAACTCCAACTGACTCCACACCCTAAAGTCCTTTGAGTTACCACAAAGACTCTAAGATGAATACGAGGAGACAGGGCATTGGGATATGAGCTATGTAGCCTGTGATCTGCTCCTAACCAGCTCTGACACTGTGACCCAATATGGGAAATACTAATGCCAAAGAATTCCACATGCTACATAACAAATAGGGACCAGCTGAGACCCAGGCAAAGTGTAAGAGTAAGTGATTATTTGGCCCTATGCAATGTTGCAACCTTCATATTTTTTTTAAAAAAGTACCCCATGGCATCCACAAAACAAGAGTGAAATTGGAGGGAGGGAGTTTGAATCTAAAAAGATTCTTTTGATTAATTAAAAAATAAGGGATAAGAAAGCATTGTGTCATAACTAACACATTTTTTAACTTTGGTGGTATATAAAATAAACATATTTATTTGGGTTGACATTATTTTAGAGTAGATAAAATATAATAATTCTACTTATCTTTGAAAACAAATTCCACAAAACCAATTCCACAAAGTAATAAAGCCTCTATATGGTGACTCTTGATACAAGAATTGGTGATTTTTAAGCACTTTATTATTAAATCATGATAACTATCATTATCATTCTCTCTATACATCCTATATACAATGTGCTGATCACCTGAGGTCCGGCATTCCACACCAGCCTGGCCAACATGGTGAAACCCTGTCTCTACTGAAAAAACAAAAATTAGCTGGGTGTGATGGTGGATGCCTGTAATCCCAGCTACTTTGAGGCTGAGATAGGAGAGTTGCTTGAACCCAGGAGGCAGAGGTTGCCGTGAACCAACAGCCTGGGTGGCAGAGTGAGACTCCATCTCAAAAAAAAAAAAAAAAAAAAAGAAAAGCTCCAAAGGTAACTTTGTATGTAGGTAGCATAGGGTGGAATAATAATGATAGCTATCATGGTCTAATAACAACTTTTAGAGGCATCTTCTTCAGTGGGCTCCATTAGTTTCTTGTGAGCAATGATATAAGAATTAAAGTAAAATCAAACTATGTCTATATCCGTATTCGTTTGTTATGGCTGCTTTAACAAAGAACAACAGACTAGGTAGCTTAAACAACAGAAAATTATTTCCTCACAATTCTGGAGGCTGGAAGTCCAAGATCAAGGTGATTGCAGAGTTGGTTTTCTCTAAGGCCTCTGTCCTTAGCTTATAGAAGGTCATCTTCTCCTGTGCCTTCACATGGTCTTCATATATCTGTGTCCTGATCTCCTATTTCTATATGGACACCAGTCACATTGGGTTAGGGCTCACTCATATGACCTTACTTTACCTCAGTTACTCTTTAATGCCCCATCTTCAAATACAATCCCATTCTGAGGTACTAGGGGTTAGGGCTTCAACATATGAATTTGGAGGGAACACAAGCCAGTTGAAAACAATAGCTATATCTATATTTACACCCACATCTGTACCTATGTTTGTGGGTCATATCGAAACCTGAAATGATAACAGTGAAGACTTCTCCCAATTTTATGATGTGACAATGAAAAGACACATATTCCTAGTCTAATTAGCATGTGGCTTCTTAGCACAAACTTATTAGAATGAACATTCTCTCAGCCAAGTGTTGTCTAATTTCCAGGTTCCTAAGACCGACTGCTCCATTAATGCTGGGAAGGCGAGCACCGCTGGGGGAAGCCAGCAAGCTGCTGGCTGGCAGTCAGAATGCCCATGTGGTGTCAGATCTGAAAAGGTGCACTGTGGGCAGCCAGAAAGAGACTGTCACTGTGAGCATCCTCTGGCCTCAGGTCTTTGATTCTCTTTGAGGCATGTCCTAAAGGCTGGGACACTCATCTACACACAGAGGCGCAGACATGAATGTGGGGCAATTATCCACTCTTTTCAAGTGAGCTGGCTGTGCTTAAACTAGAACGTGCAGGATTTTCTTTCTTTTTTTAAGGAATCAAGTTTATCCAAGAATATGGCATCTTCCCATCCACCTACCTTCCTTCCTTTCTTCCTCCCTCTTCCTTTCTTTGTTTTCTTATCTCCTTCTCTCAATTATTTATAGAGTGAGGGCCTGCTATGCACAAGGCACTCTGCTTGGTCCTATGGGGTATAAAAAAGGTGACTAAGAGGCACTCTGCCTTGCATGCTTCATTCTGATAACCTATTCCCTGTTCTGCTGTTGATTATGCTTTCAGGCACTGCTCTGCTAGTTCTTGGCAAGGCTGAAAGCCACGTCGGCTAACAGCATCCAGACCTTCCCTACCCTCGAGGTCCTCTGTCCTCCCTGTGGAAGTGGCAGCACTCTGCCTCCTCCCTGAGCCACCCACACATCTTTTCCTGCTCAGCCAGTGTCCAAGCTAAAGTTCCTGGCTCCTGACCCCTCTGGCCAGATGATTATCCATTCACTCTGTCTCGCCTCCCAGACTGCTTTATTTTTTTCCTTTTTCTGAGCTGTTCCTTCTGATTCCTCCCACTTCTTCCTCTTCTCATTTTGACTCCTTTCCCAATTCACATTGATCATCTCTGATGAGCAGGCTGAGTGTGAAAAAATAAAGATTCTAATGATCTGGCTTCCTCTCTGCCCACTGTTGTTTATCCAGGGAGTAAAGATATGCTTCAAGTACTCCTGCCTCAGAGCTGAGAGTACAAGAAGAGGTGACAGGCTTATTTTATCCTCTCCCCAACCCTCACTCATCCTAAAGCTACTTCTCAATCACTGAACATTAATCAATATGTTTATTTCTTAAAGTAAAGAGTGGGAAGTTTGCAGAAACTGAATGATAAGATTCTATAATCTGATTTAAATCTTATCTGAAGATTATAAAATGTTAAGATTCATGTTTGGAATAGAATGCAACACAGACATATATTCTACTTGAAAATTTTATTCCTGCAATTTTATTCAGTTGGGAAGAAATGGTTAGACCAGCTATTTTTTTAATCACATAGATACAGAGTGTGTGTCCTGTCCAAACCTGGCAATCCCTGGGATCACTGCCTTATTTCTCTCCTGCTAATCAAATTCAACCCATTTTTCATGTCCCAGGCAAAGTCCCACTCTTCTAGGAGGGCTGCCTGGGCTCCCATGAGCTTCTTGAGGGCCCAGCCTCTGTCTCGACCATCTTTGTGCCCCAGCAACAAGCAAAGTCAGGGACTTGGTAGAAGTGTGGGGAATGAATCAAAATGAATAACTTTCTCCAGTATACTTTCTCTAGCGTACTTAGTGTCTGTGCCACTCATTCAGATATGTCATAATACGCCTTCTAACATTGTTAGTCAGACCCTTTAAGGCTGAATGTTTTGTCCTTTCCACCCAGATGGCCTGTTCCTTGAGGAGGGGGACAGTGCTTCCTTTTTTCTCCATATTGATCTTCATTGCCTAATACAGTGACAGTATTCAGAAATATTGTTGATTTAAATGCTAGTTCTTTTTGCTTGACAGCAGTGTCTGTTGGGAACCACATTTAGAAAGCTGATTTTGCAGAAGCCATAATTTTATTGTAAGTAAACCTGTGAGAGGGGTTTGGTTTCCATGCATTTCAAATGGAAAGAAAATTATTACCCAATTGATGCTTAGTTTGATTCGGCCACATTTATTGAGCAATTGTTTTGCACCTGACATCAAACCAGAAAATGTTGCTGCCTCATGTGGGTTCAGAGTCCCCAGGGATGTCTTACTGCCCACCTGGCTTGGAGATAGTGCTTGTTCTCACAGTTGGCCACAGATGTTCAGTGTATGTGGTCTCAGCCACACGCCTGGACCTTCCTGGGTGGTGCTATGGACCTGCTGCACACCTGGTGCAGTCCCCTCCTGCGTGGTGCTGGATCGCTGCCCCTCCCCCACCCCAGTCCCTCCTCTGGTCGACAGAATACATTTTGCAGTAAGTTAGCAGAGTTGATTGCAAAAGTCTGCACTGTGGCATTTCAGGCACCTTCAAACTTATCTGCTTAAGAAATAACTTTCAGAGAGGAAAGGAACTCCTGACAAGGCTAATAACAGGGATTTCAAGCTGTGTTTCAGCAAGCCAGTTACAGAGTATTCACGTGTTAATTCACTGGCATGTTCCACGGCAGAAGCACCCCCTCTCTGCCTTCCCCCAGTTCCAACTGTTGTGCTGCGGCAGATTTGATCTGAGTCTCGGCAGAGCCCTTTTTTTTTTTTATGGAGCAACCCTCCCGATTCGTTACAGCCAGAGTCTGGTGCAAGTGATCCTTGCGTTCTCATCGCACACAAAGGCAAAGAGCTCCTTAAAGGGACCTGCCTGCTCCTCTGTGCAGCTGCAAACCCGTGTCGGTGCGGGATCAGCAACCCGTTCTCAGCTCGAGAATGAGTGGGGAGGGGTCTTGAGGAGCCCCCACGTCCTCCCGGAGCGGAGGCGGGAGGGAGCTGACAGTAGGAGTGGATGGAGACCACCAGTCGGCGGGGACCTGCTTGCAATTAGCTGCTTCTTGGGATGCTCCGCGCGCCAGTTGAGGATCCTGCCTGTGGTCCAGGGGATGCTGGCAGCGCATCTTGCGGTAAGCCTGCGCTGATTTGAGCCATCGCCCAGAAGCGAGCCCGCATTCAGACACCGCCGACCGGCTCAGTCACCATGAATGCTCAGCTATAGGCTTCTGCAGAAACCTCCCTACCACATGGATTTGGCAGTTTAATCAGCCGAGATTACAGCCCGGGAAGATTTGCAAGCCTGGTTCTCCCTCCAGCTGCTGTGACAACTTCGGGGCCGTCTGTTTACTTCTCTGGGTCCCCGGGACTCTTTCTGCACCGCAGCCCCTCGTACCACTTTGTGGGCTCGGCTCAGAAGTCAGCCGCCAGGACTCCTTTGACTGCATCCCGAAGGGGGAGCAAGGAGGGGTTAAAAGACAAGCAGAAATCCCCGCAACTGCTCAACCTCTCGTGACTGCCTGTGTTCTGGGGTTCTGAGAGGGACCGTGCGCTGCCCGGGGAAGCAATGCAAGTCTCCATAGCCTGCACAGAGCACAATTTGAAGAGTCGGAATGGTGAGGACCGACTTCTGAGCAAGCAGAGCTCCACCGCCCCCAATGTGGTGAACGCAGCTCGGGCCAAATTCCGCACGGTCGCTATCATCGCGCGCAGCCTGGGGACGTTCACGCCTCAGCATCACATTTCTCTCAAAGAGTCCACCGCAAAGCAGACTGGCATGAAATATAGGTAGGCATGTAAGATTCCCTCTGCGCGGGGTATCCAGGTTCTATACAGGTGCAGTGGAGACAGTCCAAAGGTTTAGAAAAGTGACTTACTCATCAGTGGGTTGCTCACTTCAGAATTCTCAGGTACTTCTAAAATAGCTCCTTAGAAGGATGGATAAACCCGGGGTGGTTGTGTGTGTATGCGATTTTTTAAAATGTGGCCCATTTTGTATAATTCTTAAGTGTTATGAACATCTTAGTAACTATGTACATTCCAGTCCCCAGAGAAAAACCACAACTGCTGTATTTAGATCAGGATAGTTTTTCAATAGCAAATGTTTTTGGCCTATTTTATGATAAAGACTGTAGTTTCTGTGATTATACTATCAGAAATAGTTTCCCATGTAGCACTGCACTATTATTTATCTTTTGTTTTGTTTTGTTTGAGACAGAGTCTCACTCTGTTGCCTGGGCTGGAGTGCAGTGGTGAGACCTGGGCTCTCTTGCCTGGGACAGTTCCTCCCAGGTTCAAGCAGTTCTTCTGCCCCAGCCTCCCAAATAGCTGGAATTACAAGTGCCTGCCACCACACCCAGCTAATTTTTTTTAAAAAAAATTTTTTTAGTAGAGATGGGCTTTCACCATATTGGCCAGGCTGGTCTTGAACTCCTGACCTCAAGTGATCTGCCCACCTCAGCCTCCCAAAGTGCTGGGATTACAGGAGTAAGCCACTGCGCCTGACCTTATTTATCTTTTGAAAGACCAAGTTAACAAATTATATATAAAGCATCTAAAAGTAGTTTTTTTTTTGCCAGAAAAACCACCTATAATGGTAAATTAGATTGAATACTGCCATATTTAAGCCTAATTATTGCTTGAAATAAAATGTAGACCTTGTGAAACATGAAGAAAGTGTATATTGTTGCAATTCTACTAGTTTCCTCATAAATTTTAAAGCTTCCTCATCGTCTATGATTCATAGTTGGAATCATCCTGGTAATAGCGGATGCTCACTCTAATAGGGCATGACTTACATTTGATAAGTAGAAAATTTCATTATTCAGTTATGTGACTCCTGTCTCCTCATTACTTCTGCTTTGTACCAAGTCCCTCTGACTTTTATTTCTTTACAACTACTGTGCTTCTAGTTTCAAAAGTGTTTGTGAATGTAGAGGAGAAAAGCTACCAACACATCTTCCAAAAGCTTTGGTTACTTCAGTTTGCAGATATGATTTTGTTAATTGTCTATATTTAACTATCTCTTGTCTTTGTTAGGAACCAGATTTTAGGATAGAATGAACTTAATTAAATTAAAATAATGCATAGGCAACACTGTGTTTCCCATGTGGGGTTGCTGAAATAAGCATTTAAACCTATTTTTATGAAAGTCACCCTTGAAAAAAGTTTCTTTGCAGAGTTAGAGGAAAGTTTCTCATTGCACAAACACCAAGCACTGTTGTTTTGATATATGTTTGAGCCATTAAGAAAAAAAGCCCTTGAGTGGGAAAAAGCAAAACAACCATAGCTAAAGCTCTTTACCCTAACTGCAGTACAAATGTTAGCAGCCTGACTTGGGTCAACTCATTGAAGCATCAGCTGTGTGAGTGCTTTTGCTTTTCCCAATATCCCTGTGATACAGAGTGGGGCACCACAATGACAGTTCTGTAAATGAGCTACAGTCTTGAGTCCACTGATGTTTTCTATGGCTGCTGCTGGGGCACACTGCCCTGTGGACATGGTGCACTCTACATTTACTTCAGCTACTGAGATGGAGATGGACAGCTGCCTTACTGGGCAAGGTCCCCAGGAACAGGCCACTCCGGGGTTAGGGCAGATCACAGAAGGTGGTTTGAATTGTGGCCTCTAGTACTTTACTAGCACTATGAACTTTCTTTTTGTAAATCAGAAGTAAAATGTAAGACCACTAATTTCTCAAGGCAGAGTTTCATAGTTGCTTGATGATTGTGTTGGAAGAGTTGGCTCTTATGAAGGCTTTTGGAAGTCAGGATAAGGTTTCTCTGGTGGCACAGCTCAACTCACATGAAATGACAACTCTCTGCTTCCCAAAAGTTCAGAGTGTGAGCAAGGTTCACTTGGGCACCTTTCATTACTGACAACTAAAGACAGCTCTCTAACAAAAAGTTAGCCATCTGAGGTCTTCAGTATACTTCGTTTCTGAAGGTAACTAAACAAGATGCCTCTTCTCCCTTGTGCTCATATTTCAAGCCACTCCGTCTATAACAGTCAGGAGGTTTTCCTGTGTGTGTGTGAATGTGACTTACTCTTCTCTTTCAGATTCTACTCTGAGTAACCTTTACGAAAAAGATTATGAGATTACACCAAATGTATACCAAGCTTTCTTAGGGTTAAAAGGGGGAGGGAGACTGTATACTTTATCATAAATGATAGAAGTCACTTTTATTAGCTAAATCATCCTTTTTTACATTGTTATAGCTAAAATATAATGTGCATAGACTATTTGTTAATGATAACAAATAGCAGAAAACACAAAAAATAATGCCATAGAATAGGGAAGATAATTGGCTTAGGCAAACAATCTGGAGAATGCCTGAAAGAACTAAAACAGAAAGTTAGTAGCTAATTGTCATCATAATTTCATCCTTGAAAAATGGGTTTCATAGGCAGAGCTTTCAGGTGGACCTATAAATCCAATTGAACATTTAAAAATAATATCTTTTGTGCATTTTTCTGAGGAAAGTGTTTATAGGTTTCACCAGAATTTGAAAATGGTCTACCACTAAAAATTGTCAAACAGCAGTGTTGTCTAGTGAAGAGGTGCTCATTTAGTCAGGATAGTCAAAAAATATTTATTGCACATCTATTCTATACCAGGAACCCCACTAAACTGGTACACAAAGGCGCAGAAGCCTGACAAAGTCTGGGCTTACATACAGTTTGAGGAAATAGACCATACATAAGAAAACAAACAAGCAAGCAAATAATACAATTGTCTATTATAAGACATTTTATGAAGCTATTTTTTTCTGGAGGGGTGATAGTCATGCTTGGGCCAACTTAGTTTATCCATGTTGAAGTTACCAACTCTGCTTCAGTTCCAGAATTACTGATTGCACCTTGTGGCATGAGTAATTGTGCCTATGTCTACCACCCATTTTGCTATCCTAGACACTTCTTTCAGGTATATGGTGCTACCTGGCAGCTCAGGACCTACTTGTCACTCTAATAAATAAGTAGAATGCCTTCTGCTTATATAGAGCCTTATGATTTTTAAAGCCAACAAATATAATAGCCTATGTTTAACACCCGTAAATCAATAACTTGCAAAACTGAGATTTTAGAAAGAATTAGTATATACTTGTGCAAAACATCTAAATTCTGCAAGAACAAAATGCTCAAAGACACTATTATATTCACACCATCATTGTTTAAGAATCTTGCATAAAACTGGTTATTGTTTTAAGGCTGAAGATGAAAAAAATCTACTAGAACATTCTGGCATTCAAAAGCTACTGTCAGCCCAGGAGAACAAGATTCCACCTAATGCTTATACTGAGGACTATCCTGTGTGTAAATAACATAGGACTATTTCATTCCTTAGAGAGTTTTTTCCCAGTACAGAATATTTGTATATATTTATGGAGTACATGTGATATTATATACTACATGCATAGAATGTGTAATGATCAAGTAAGGGTATTTAGGATACCCATTACCATCAGTATTTATCATTTCTCTGTTTTGGAAATATTTCAAGTCCTCTCTTCTAGCTATTTTGAAATATACAATATATTATTGTTCATTCTAGTCACTCTACTCTGCTATCAAACATTGGAACTTATTTCTTCTATATCACTATGTGTTTGTACCCATTAACCAACCTCTCTTCATCCTTCCACTCTTAGAGTTTCATAGTTGTGCTCTGTTAGTGCATGAAAGTTTCTTTATTCTATTTTTGTGCCTCTTTTTAATCTCAGAGTTCATTACACTGTGTTAGTTTGGTATACATTATAACCATACATGATAGATTTATATATGATAGATGTAGGTACATACATGAACCTTTTATCCTAAGATCAAATCATTTGGAACAGAAATTAAGGCATATTGATTTGCTTTTGCTTGTTTGGTTGGTTTGGGTTTTGTTTTTTTAAATAACTTTTTAGAATGATCCAGCTACCAGTATTTGACATGGTCTCAGAGCTTCTGTCATTCAGAATGGAGCACATGTGTACTGATAAACTCCCTCCTTCTCATTCTGAAATTGTTATTTTGGTTTCAGAACAATTGGAATATGATGGACCCAATTTCATTGAGAGCAATCTTTAAACTGTACTAAAAACTTCAACTTTTTCTCCATTTTTTAAGTTAACTACCCTTTATCATTGAAATTGTTTCTGAAATAATTATAAATTCACAGAATTTTGCAAATAAAAGAAGTACAGGGAATTTCCATATGACCTTAATTTCCCCAGTGGTAAACATCTTGCTTAACTATAGCGTGATAGCAAAAGTAGGAAATTGATGATCCATATGGATTGGTACAATCCATAGGATTAATTCCAATTTTACCAGTTATGCATGTATTTATTTTTGTCTGTTTTTATTATATGTATAGATTTGTGTAATCACCACCACAATGAACAATCAGAATTGTTCCAACATCACAAGGCTCCCTTGTGATATTCATTTCTGACCACATCTACTTCTTCTTCTCCAATTTCTAACCTTGGGTAACCATTAATCTTCAAGTCATCTTTATAATTTTATTGTTTCAAGAATATAAATAGCATAATACAGTATGCATTGAGACTGGCTTTTTTTTTTTTTTCAGAGGGTTTGTACAGGGAAGTGGTGAGAAAGAATTTTGTAGTGGTAAAAAGAGACTGGAATATGGCTTAGTGGAGGGTAAGCTACTTACATATATACTTTACATGAGGGAACAACAGCAATGGAGGGACCATTAAGGATGTGTAAGCAAGATGTCTGCTTACAAAGTTCTGTTAAGAAAGAATCTGGCAGTTGTTCCAAAAAAAATAATAAAA